AATTTACAGAAAGACTCTTGGTTTCAAAATTGAAATAAGATGCCAGTACAGTAGAGGAAGTTCTAAAACAATCTCTATAATCCAAGTTTTTTGGCAGTTTGGGCTCCATCATGTTTGTCCAGCCAAGAAACACTTCCAAAGACGACGTTAGCTGTTGTGTGTGGGGAAACAGCCTCACAGAGCCAGAAAGTACCTGACAGAATTAATTCCTTGCTGGACCTTTGGCTATGGGTTCAAACACACATGCCTTGGATTAGAGTCTGTGTTGAGCTTACACAGCACCTTTCCCTGCTGGATCCCTTCTCAGCACACGTACAGAGGGAGAAAAAGAACATTACAGCACGAGAGCACTGACAGAGGCATGATAGGAAACTCCTGGGTGACAACACTGAAGAGAGCATCTCAAAGCCAAGGACTAGAGCATGTCCCTGCTCTTGTCACTGCTTTCTTCAGCACGACTCTGCATCTTAATGGGTGTGAATCAATCATCAGTCATCTTCCAAAGCACAAACAGCTGCCATTACACCTACTAACCATGCATCTGCAGCTCTGACTGTACCGAGGAGGCACGAAGCGGTGCAAGGGATGAGTTTCAAAGATGCTGGAGAATTTTTCTTTATTCTGGCCTGACTCACACATAACCTTTGCATTTACACAGGTTTGTGTCAACATCGTCAGTTTCCAGCAATGAAGAAAAAGCAGAAACTCCAAAGGGCTCCATGGTTTGGCTTTTACAGCCTCTTTTCTCCTTCACTGTTCACAGGGCACTTCTGAGCCCACAGTCAGATTCCAGAGATAAAGTGCCACAGTCTCCTTTTCTGTCAGAGTACAGACACCCTGACTGGAGCAGATATCCCATTACCTGTTGTTGTGCTGCATTACAGAGCTATTCAGCTTTTCTATTCCTTTCCAGCACGTGACCTCCACGCTACTTCAAAGCTCTTAACCAACTCTATCCTGAGAAAGAAAGTGAATTCAATGCCACACAGCTAAGTCAGTCACTTACATTGCTAAATAAATTAAGCTGGTGACAGAAGCAGTCTCAGGACCATCTCACTGGGCCAACCAACTGAACTGGAAAGGAAGTGGACAGCACTGGCAAGATCATCATGATTTGGTCAGCAGCAAAAGGCAGGGAGACCTGAACTGGTGTTAGCATGATGCTGTCAGAAGGAACAGGAGCTCTGCTCCATTTTTACATTCCCTTCACTCTAGAGTTTGTGACTCACTACACAATGAAAAGGCTTTGCAGAGCACTGCAGTATGACTCAGATGAGAATACAGCCAGAACAAAGCTGTTCATATCAAGATATTTTCAACCCCAATGATTCATGGGAGGATTAGGAAAAGAACTGGTCTGATAAGATCCTCTGTAGGGAGGACTGTGGAGCAAGTCCTGCAAGTGGCACATGAAGGCAGCTCTGGTAGCACTCACCAGCATGCCAAACCCCTGCAGAAGGACCACAGCTCATTCTACACGGAGATTCACCTCAATTCCTCCAGAAAAAGAAAACAACTGGTTGCACTGCTTGTGGTGGCAGAAGCAGAGCATCTGAAGGACATCAGGATACAACATACATTTTTAAACAATCTAGTCCAGAGGGGAAGGATCTGTTCTGCTCCTCCACACTCTCAGACACTGGTCTAACCTAATGCAACAAGATATGCTGTGGGAGAAGATAAAGAGTAAAGTAATACCAGAGAGAGAGAGTGTTTTAGAGGCTGGCTCAGGTGAAGAAGGTATGCAGCCAAAACCTGCAGCTGCACTGATCTCAGCCCTTGGCAGCAGCACTGCCATGAGCACTTCCCATGCTCTCAGACAAAAGGAGGAAGCCCCAGAAGTTGGTACACAATGGCTGCAGCCTTGAGACAGCCCAGCACACAGCAGGCGTCCCTGCTGCCCTGGCCAAGGGACTCCTTGGGACACAACAGCAGAAGCAGCCACTGCATCCACATCCTGCTGGACATCCCCCATCACCCAGGGTCCCAGCAGACTTAACAAAGACCTAGACTTCAAAGAGTGGCAGCATGTGCTTATCTGCCCTCCCTCAGAGAGGTTTCAGGGCACAATGGCTGGGCTGCTGCTGCAGGGGAAGAGCAGCTTGGCATTACCCTAATCCTGCTAGGCAGAGGTGCAAAGCCTCTCCAGGCAGCAGCCTCCTCACCTGCAGCAGCACGTGGCACTGCAACAAGTGACAGGACAACATGTAAACCCAAGCCACTGCATTCCACCTCTGGTTGCAGTGGGATGCTCAGCTGATGCACAATTTCAAAGCCCATCACAAAACAGGAGCACAACAAACAGATGGGTTTTTAATGAAATGTGACTAAAGAAAACAGTTTTATAAGGAAAGTGCTGCTTTCCTGTGGTCACGGGTTGGGAAATCTTTTCTAGAGAAGCAGTGAAGAATCAGAAAGGGTACATTGCTTCCTTCCTCAAAACACGTCAGAGTGGGACTGGACACTGAGCCCAGCTGTGTGGCTATTTATGACAACAGTCCAGCTCCCAGATGAACTGGAGTAATGTAGTATAGCAAAGGCAATCCTTCCTCACAGGTAGGGACATCCTGCCCTTACCTGTGCCCATAAACTTCCTCTAGCATCCCCCCACTGACCTCTCCTCAGCCCCTGGGGAAATCAAATGCAGTGTGCAGTTTAATAGTTCATACTTAAGAATCAGAGTATCAATCACTAATGGAATAGAAAACAAAAACATACACAATTTGCACCAGTGAGAAGACCTACAAAGTAAAGATAAATAAGGCAAAGTTAAAATTAAAAAATAGACTTCCTAATTTTGAGGATGTATATGATCTCACCTGTTAAATACAAAAGGTTTCTAAAGATAAGGGAAGACAATGCCAGCACAGGCTGCACGCAGAGCAAGAGGTGCAAATCCATAAAAAAAATCTAAAATTCAAACCAAAAGGCCTTCAGAAGCATTTAAAAGCACAAGAGAGCATTTATCATTACAGTTCCCAGTGCTGGATTAAGTTTCCCTGGTTCACTGCATTAGAATTAATCTATGTGCCTACGAACTCCAGAGCCAACTTGCAGAGCCACAGCAGCAGCGTGGTTATATAACCACAGCTCTGATAGCACAGGCTGCAGTGCTGCTGGAGCCTGCCTGCTACCCCTCACCAACACCACAACCAGCAAAGCTGCTGCTGCTCAAACCATTCTCTTGATGACAGATGCCTCAGTAATGCAGACATTGGAGTTTGGATTTGATAAAATGTTTTCTTGAGAGCTGATGTTAAGACTTAAAAGGCCATCGACTGCTGTGCAAGAAGTCCTTAATGCCATCAAGGGAGGGGAGGCAGCTACACGGGAGGAGAACAGCAGAAGGCTTTAAGTGGGAATATGATTACTGTAGAAAAATTATCTGACAAACAAACACAACCCCAGATAATTCCTAGGAATGCTTTTAAGCAATTTAAGTGAAAACTGGTACATCTGCTGTCTATTCAAAAGGTCATTGAGTGCTTATTTCATGATAACACACTCCCAAGAAGATCTTCCAATGAACTCTTAACTTCTGATCTCCAGGATTGCATATCCCTTGTTTTAAAGGCAGCTACCCTCTGAGGTCATGGAAATACAGTTCAGCTGCTGTGCAGCGTTACATCTGCATGTGGCCATCTTGAACTCTGCTAAGCCAAGGGAACTAAAACAAATTAACAAATTGAAGCCTCAAAATACAAAGTTAGCTCAAAAGTCCCTTTGATTTGCTGGTATAAAGATATTTCTTTGTATCTACCCACAGCTCTTTAAATACATCTCTCACATTTTGCTCTAGCTTCAGTCCTCAGATCTGTTCATCTGTTTAGAACAAAAAGCCAAAACATACTGCTTCCTAAAGTATTTCTAATACCTTCTACTCCTAGAATAAACAAGAACTGCTTAGATGCTTTAGCCTTGATGCCTGTGTGCATGATAGCAGGCTGTGTATATAGGACACTGCAAGTATGTTCAGAAAAGCAAAATGGTGTTTTCAAAACCAGAGACCGTGGCAAAACGAGGCAGCAGAGTCACTGCAGCTCTGTTCCAAGATGACAGCAGAGAACACAGATGTTGGAGCACACAGATTCACTCCACAATCATTTTAATTACATGCCCAGCCAACCAAGCACAGGATACAGGCTAAGCAGCATTAAAAAAAAAAAAAAAAAAAAAAAGAGCTGAACAGAAGTATTCTGCGAGCATCCTCCTGTGCACTTGATGCTAACGCCACTCTCGTGCATTAAGTCATCTGTTTTCCAGCAGGCAGGCAGCCGGTTTGGAAAGGCACTGCTGGCCTCGCTGCGGGGCTGGCGGCATCAAAGGGGATGGTCAGGGGATGGTCAGTGCAGGCTGCACAGGACTGGCACAGAAGGGATGGATGATTAGAGGAGCCTGCACAGGACTGGCACAATCAGAGGGGATGGATGGTCAGTGCAGGACTGGCACAATCAGAGGGGATGGATGGATGGTCAGCAGAGCCCGCACAGGACTGGCACAGCCCACGGTGGCTGCGGGCAGCCCCGGGGCTCCAGGCCGGGACGGTGCCTTTGCCCGGGCAGCTCTGGGAGCCGGCCGGGCCACCCTTGGCTCCTGCCCCGCTCCAGGGGTCGCTTGGCGATGCGGGTCAGCGGGCACACGGTGGCATCGGGTCCAAGGTTGAGCTCACTGATCCTGGAGGGCTTTTCCAACCTCAGTGATTCTATCAATCTATAATTTCAGCTTCTGCCAAGAAGAACCCGCGCTCCGGGCAGGCTGGGGGCAGCTCGGGGTGGTGACCTCCCGCCCCAGCCCCGCCTGGCCCGGCCCTGCGGGGCACCTGCTCCGGGAGCAGCGGGGACACGGCACCCTCGGCCACCCACCCGGGCAGCCCCAGCGGGGGCCGCACGCCCCATTCTCCTCCTCCTCCTCCGCCTCCGGGCGGGCCGAGCCCCCGCTCCCGCCGCCCCTCACGGCCGGGGCGCGCACCCCGCACCCCGCGCGGCCCCGGGCAGACCCACCTGCTGGTACTCGGCGTCGTGCGGTCGGAAGTCGGCGGCGGTGAGCTCCCAGCGCAGGCTGAGGTGCGGCAGGCGGTGCAGCAGGCTCACCCACCAGGGCGGCGAGTAGCTCACGCCCGCCATGCCCGCGCCTGCCTCACCCCGAGCCGCCGGCCATGGAGCGCCGCCCGCCTCACCCGCACCGCGGCCGCCGGCCCCGCATGGCCGAGCGTCCCCCCCGCCCGCTGCCGTCCCTCCGCCCGCTCCCGCTCCCTCTTTGTTCGCCCAGAGGCTCCGCCGCCCGCGCCCGGCGCCGCCCGCCCGCTCCCATTGGCGCCGCCGCCGCCGCCGCCCCGCCCCGGCCCGGCCCCCGCCGCTCCCCCGGGACCGGGGGTCGCTGCCGGGCCCCGAGCCCCCGGCGCTGCGTTTGTGTCCCGGTGCCGTGAACCTCACACGGCCCTGCGGGTCTAACAGCGGGAGCTGCGGGTTGGGTTCACCTAAAAGCCAGCGGAGTGAAAGCAGTTTGTGCCGCAGCAAGTGGTAAAGGTGGGCATAAAGTGATTTATTGTCAGCTCCTCTCGAGTCCGTCTCATCCAAGATCCAGAGGTAGCAAGTTTGTCCCTCCCGAATTCACAGTTCTTGGAGGCAAAATGTCATCCAGCACTCCCTCGGCTGGGCACGCACATGGCAATGACAGCGACAGGAGCACAGGTGAACATTTAGGAGACACCTCCCACTGTGTGACAGCACGACGGGGAAAAATAATAACATAATAATTTGAACAGTGTCTTGGAATCTCTCAGAATACCTCAAAAATGTGCAAATGAGGACATGGTTTAGTAGCAAACATGGTCATGGTGGTGGGTTGATGGTTGGACTTGGTGATCTTGGAGGTTTTTCCCAACACAATGGCTCTATGACTATGGGGTGCTGGGCACAGGGCCACGTGTTAACCCCTTAGAGCAAATAAACATATTTCTGCTGATGTTCTGAACACTTCAATAGCTTTTGACTAGGATGAGATTTTCATATGAGTATTATCAACACAGCTAAAAAGAAATCTTATCACTCACAAATAGCATTAAGACACATGTCAGAGGGTTTAGAGCCACGTGCTGTGTGCACAAGTACAAGATATACAAGGGTACAAGATAGAAGACCTCAACTCCCTTCAGCTTTCTCCAAGAAAAGAGTTTATTTTTCTGCAGGAAGACAGCTGATTTTTTTTTTCCTTATTATTTTAACTTTTTCCACAGTGCCAGCAAGGATGGATAGAAGATGGAATTCTTTCAAGGGCCAATGCTCTAACATATTTCACCTCCAGTTCTAACAACCCAAAGACAAGGAGCAGAGAGACCTCGCTGGGAGCAAGAGATCTCTGCCTAAGCCCCTTCTGACACAGAGTTTATGCAATTTGGCACTAAAACACTCAAGGCTGGAATCTGTCCTGCAGATGTAACCACAGCCACGGGCCTCTGGATGGACACAAAACCCCACCATGCTGCAGGTCCCAGCGCCTCTGTCAGCATGTGATGGACAGGGGAGAGAGGCTGCAGCCAGGACACCACACTGAGATCTTGTTTGACAGGGCTGATGTAAATCAAACTGCACAGAAAGTTTTGGAATCAATGACAGGAAAAGCTGGATGCAGTTCCATGGGGGTGGGTGTTTGAGGCACTCTGTGGGGCTGGGGGTGAGTGGGAAAGGGAGCAGGGCTGGTGTGCATGCCTCCCCTCAGCCTCCTGCTGCCGAGACAACTGGATTAAATTAGAGCAGAATGAGGACTGGGGATTACAGAGAAACAGAGGCATCAACAGTTTTCATTTCTCCCCCACAATTATTTATAATGATACGGGAAAATGAAGAGCAGAATGGATTCAGCAAACGAGGAATAAAAGACAAACCACAAGATCCAGCACTAGCCAGACTTTCCATGGCATTCCAGCCTGTTGTGCCACATCACAAAGAAATATCTGCAACTCTTGGATGTCTAGCATCTCTCATTCAATCCTATCCAGGTAACTCTTGAGTACATGACCAGACAGTTATCAAGGCTCTCATGTTTGGATTATATCAGCCTTTTTTTCCTTCCCACACAAATAAGTACAATCTCTTTTGCCAAAGCCAAATGAACAAATGAGACACTGTCATGACATCCCAGGAATAAAATCTAACAGTAAATCACCCTTGCATGGAAAGCAGTTCTACAGTCAAGCAAAGCAAAATGCAAATGTCAGCTTGTTCACTGGTAATCCTGCTGAAAAGTGACCCAAAGAGCAGTATTAGTGTTTGCTAACTTGCTCTGACAGTGGCTTTGCTAAAGAATCAATGGACAAAATAGGCAGATGAGAAGTGTTCCTCATTAAAGACAGCAAAGATAAAAAGACTAGTTTAAACCTCCAAAATAAGGCAGCCAGTGCTGTCCTCCATCCTCTTGAGACCACCAGGCTTCTACAGAAGTCTTCCAAGAAATGCAGCATTTTTCACTCTTCACAAGCTTCCGATTGCAGACATCCAGGCTGCTGAAGTGGTACTGGCAATGAGAGCATCTTTTAAACCAGCAATCTCCTACCCCTGGCTTTTCTGATTCACTATGAAATTAAATAATTCAGCTTTTAATATAATGTGGAGCAAGGAGTCTTCCCCTTTCTGTCAAACCTAATGTGTGCTACAAAAGGTTTTAGCTAACAATACAGATTAAAAAAAAAAAAAAAAAAAAAAAAAAAGGCACGTTTGCACTCCAAGTGCCAGCAGATGGATGAGTTACCCTCTTGAGACAGGGACTAAATTACAGATGGTCATGGGGAGGTCAGGGAGAGAACCGTGCCTGGCACTCAGCTGCCACTGCCGGGCCACACCTCTGACTCTGCTGCTCCATAAACTCTGCCCTTGCAGCCAGCCGTGCCTCCTTCCCGCTGAGCTCAGCTCTGCCTCCATTAAACCTACCCTGCCTCTCCTCCCAGGGCTTCCTCTCTAATTTTCTGCTCAAAGTCAAAGGAAATAACAAAGCCAGGGCCCCCAGCCATCGCTGCCCCCTCCATGACAGCTCTGCCTCCAGCCCTGCTCTCCCAGCAAAGCCAGGGATCTTCCCAGCTGACTTCTCCTCCCAGCTTGAAGGACTTCCCCCAAGTGGAGGCATCTGCAGGCAGGAACACACATTTGGGTTTTCAAGCCTTTCCTCTGACGTCCTGCCAGGGACTTTCAGGTTTACACAAAGAATAGCCACTACAAGGGCCAGCAAAAAAAAAGCTTTCAGCCAACTGAAAGAAATAATAATAGGTTAATTCTTTTATTTCCAGTCCTGAGGCAATATTCTCTCTCTTTCTCATGTTTTACTGGTCTTTTTAAACTGAGTTCTAGGGAAATGGGTGGAAGATGTGGAAATCCTATTGCAAAAGCACCTGCCTGCTCTTTTCCCCAGAGAGCCACACAGAGAACATTCTATTATTTAGTTAATTGCAAAGAAACAATTACAAAGGAACTTGGCAAACTCTCTCTAATCACAGCAAGACCCACTGCAGTCCAGTAAGTTCAGCAAATTAGCAAATAAGTGAACATAAAAAGGAAAGAATAACACAGCTCAAATTGCACTTTGTTCGTTTGTTTTGTCACTCTTCGTTTCTATTTAATTATTTAAGGTATTTCTTCATAACATTCTGGTACATTTTGTATAATAATGAAGGTTTACTAGCATGGAAATGCAATACGTGGCTATTAAATATCTACCAAGAGAGGGAAGAAAACTGCCAATTCTCTGAGTAGATTATAGAGAGCCTGTTCAGGAAAAATTTCCAGGTTAGATAAATAGAAGGTTCTGCCACAATTTGTATAAGTTCCAAATAAGGATTATTGCTCAATAATGGCAATGCAAAGCAATGTTTGTGCAGAACGCTGTAACTTGTACTACAGGCACTCATGGTCAATCCCATTTATTAAAAGCTCTTCTAATTTTCCATGCATATACCTAGAGGCCATTCAAGCCTTTTTTTACAGCAGCACTGTAACCAAGTGACAGATTTTATAGGATTCCATCCCAAAAGTCAGAGCCCAGCAGAGACTTCCAAGCTGTGTTACATTGCTGAGGCTCAGGCTCTGCTCTGCAGGGCTGATGGGCTGAGGAGGGGACAGGAATGGCATCCAGGTGTGGGATTGTTTGGCTGATGGCAATGGACAGGATGTCCCTCCTGTCCCTCCTGCTTCTCCCCACACCATTTTGAGCAGCAAGATTTTATGACACCTCCGTTCACACTGCCAACAATAGAAGCCCTAGAGGAGCTCATGTGGTACCCAGTGCTGTGTCTGTGAGGCAAAACCCTCCCCAAGAGAGGGGAGCTGGGACAGCCTGAGCCACACCTTGGGCTGGGACATTGGTTCAGACACAGCTCTGGTGAGGGGAACACCACAAACACTCTCCTGGAGAACAGGGGAGTCCAGATGCTCAGGTTTGAAAAGGGAAATTGGGAGGGCCAGGCAGGGAGGGGCAAGGGGAGCAGGGTGCAGCTTCATCAGTGAATCAGAGCAGAGTGAATTCCTGAGAACACAGCAACCCTCACTGCTCAGGGCTCTTCCTTGAGCACCACATGTAACCAAAGTGCCAAACACACACCAAAACCAGGCCAGGCATTGAGAAAGGATGTCAGGGCTGCCTCCACCAGCACAGCAGCACTCCAGCAAACAGAGGAACTGGTGCAGCACCTGACCACCAACCATGCCTGGAAATCCTTCCCTACAAACCTGGAGTCTAACATGGAATTTTTGCTCTTTGCCCATTGAAGGAAACTTTTTTTCTCCCCTTAAAAAGTTTGTATGAGGAAAGCAATTCATTGGCTGACAAACCTACCACAGAGAGATGCTGCAAAGCTTGCAAGAGTCAAGGGCATTCCGACTTCAGCTGCAGACAAATTATGGCTTAATATAACTAAGTGTGAATGTTTAATTGCTTTCAACTGAATTCAAGACCAGTCTGCTCCAAGAAATAATACCAAAATTTTCCATTCATGCCTCATGGATTACCTCTGGTGTTTAAGATTTAAAACTGAAATTTCTCATGAGAAATCCAGAGAATATGCCAGTAGAGCTGAGAGGAAAGAATAAAAATTGTGAAATTTAATTAATAAAATCATCCAACAAAGACTGTCTCATCTTGTACTCTCATAGCTGCTGTAGTCCTACACCAAAGACTCTGCTTGGCAGGAGGATGACTGCAGGATTCCCATGTTTTCACAGCAGGGTCTTCCATTGCCATAAACCAGCAGAAGGCTTCTTTAGGGAGTCCTTAAAGGTTTTTTCAGTGGACCTGGAAAAGAATGCACATGTCCCAGCTCCTTCCAGAGCTTCACACACAGCAACAATAACCCAGGTGAGAGGATACACTGTCAGTAAATGTTGAACTCTGTAGTGTCCTGCTCCCCCTCAGCTGCTGCCAGATCAAGTTTTTTAAAGCAAAAACCCATCAGCTCTTTCAGTTCCACCAGGTTTTGGTCAGGAACGCTGCTCATTCCTGATGGGAAAACCTTGAACCTGCACTAAAAGAAAAGAAATTTCACACCGTACATGTTTCAGTTACCTTGTTACTGTCCACTCAGGAAATCAGGGATAAAAGGTCAGCTCGGGTGCAAAGAGAAAACAGGAGAGTGCAGCAGAGGCCAGAGGGGCAATGAAAATACAGCAGTAGCAGAAGAAACACATCAACATTCAGTTATAAACTTTATTTCAAAATATAACAGTTCAAAGAAAATTCATTGCAATTGTTTTAGCTTTTCAAAGATCCCAAAATAAATTATATAAAATACTTGCACAGTTCTAAATATTAAAAAGATCATAAAAATTAATAGTGCTCTCATATGCCAAGATTAATCCTTTTCCATTTTGACTACATTAGAAGTTGCCTGTGCAGGGATTATTTTTAGAGTTATGCAGGAAACAATACAGTTTTCAGGTCTTGATGCCTCAGTAAAGATTTACAGGCAAAGGCACTTAAGGGCAAAAAGAGATCAAGAGAGATAACATCCCATTAAAGTCAGATCTCTGCACTCACACACAATCTCTAACTAACACTGCTGCAAACTGCAGATGGATTTAAGGCAGAAACGTTATTCCATATTGACAGAATGGAAAATGTGCTTTTAGATTACACTGGATACAGGGGAGTTTAATTTTCATTCAAGGCCTTGACACCCCCACAAGGTTTCCAGGGCTTTCTACAGAGGTGTTTTGCAGAAACAGTGTGTTTGTACTGGGCCTATCTTGGCAGATTTGAGCCTCACTCATTTTTACTGTCCTCAGCTCCCTATTGAGGAAAAATGCCATTTATTCAAAAAATAACTTTTTCTTCCTTCTTTGTGCCACAATTCCTCCCAGTTTATCCGTGCTGGCATTCAGATAGATAACCACAGAACCAAACCTAGTGTCAATCACTACTCCTCCAGCACATTCCATCCCAGTGTACAACAGAACAACACCCAAGGCTGACACTGTGCAGGATTCCCTTCCTCCTGGACCACAAGCTCCTGATGTTGAGTGAACTCATAATCACCTTCCAAAGGAAGTTATGGGTTTGAAGGCCATCTCAATGTCAGTATCAGATCTTTGGTAGCTGGGAGACAGCACCCTCAAATTTAGAAAGTTTTAGACACATTTTGATTCAGCCCAGAGAACACTTGTTCCTTTTCACCCTGGTTTCTGCCTGTGTCTGGGTCATCCCAAGCTCCATCTCCCATTAACCCCAGAACTTGTCTATGGGCAGTGCTGCTGCTGCTGGCCACGTGCTCAGCTCAAATACAAACCCTTCTGCTCTGTATCAACTTCCTAATACTGTCATACTGCTCATTACAGCACAGTAAAGTAGAAGAATGTTTTCTTTATTGCATTTGCTGCCCCAGAACCCCCCTATAGGATGACAGCCAGGCAGGTATTTGGTATCAGCCTTGGTCCTGACACATCACACACTCTCCCTTTAATGTGTCAGGCCTCATCTCTGGTTACTCTCTGGAGAGATCCATGACAGAGTCACAGTTACAGACCTGAAATATTATACACAACAACTCAGTACAGCACTGCTTCCATTTAGCAAAATGACCCTTCTTCTTAATGTGACTTCCAGAAAAAGAAACATATCCCAGCTTCTAGCAGGATTCTATCCCTTTTCTTTTATGTATATTTTTTTATCCTTCCTGCAGATGACAGTCATGTGACCAAAGCACCAGCAGGAAAAATTTACCCAGTGGGAGTGCAAATGACATTCTTCAGACTGCTTTGGGTATGGAGAGCTCCCAAAACTGCCTTTGGAAATAGCACAGGCAGCATTTCCACCGAGGGGATTAAATGAAATCAGCTGCATTGTGCTGCAGCCATCCAGTTTCCTCTTTGGCTCTAAGTACTGGCACAAACTATGATAAGCCTCAGATAGTCTTCATTGAAATCACAGAACTGAGACAGCCCTGACTTATTGGTATTCTGAGAAACAGTGGTGACTGATTTTTAATTTAGAAAAGCTGATAAAAATCTTATATTTAAGAGTGTGCTTTCTGTTTACAGGAGACTTTATTACTCTTTGATGACAAAGAAACCATTAGTGTTTCCAGCAAACCTTCACCACGTGCTTGTAAAATTAATTTCCCCTTCCAATAAGTATCATGATTTATCTAGCTCACCTTAAAAAAAACCCACACACATTTCAATGTCTTTGAAGGATGTTGGTGCAACAGTAGGAACTATCCAGTCCAAAAGTACAGTGTGCAGAGATCTGGAAAGACCCTCTCTGATGAAATCCTCAACAACCCATCAGGCTGTTTTGTTTGGTCTTTCCATGGATAATCACACTGTGAGTGCTTTTTCTGGATGCAGTACTAATTTCTTCTCCCACTTCTGCTCCCAAAAAAAACTGCCCCAATTAGATATGAGCAATGGAGTCAGGTGAGCATTCCAGACAGTTCTATCTCCTATGTCAAATATTTTTACACACTAAGAGTGGACCCTGCAAAACAGACACAATTTGTGACTTTTTAAGCAGAAAAAACACTCACAGGTGTATCCCTTCACAGCACACTGCTGCTAATACACACCTGCCCTGACAAATCCCAAAAGCTGATTATGTCATCAGACATTTCAACACAAAGCAGTACCACACATGTCATTGTACATACACAGGAAAAGGTCAATAAATAAGAAAACCCAGCTGATACAGTGGGCCTTGAATACTTGAATAGTCATATGGCAAAGAAATGGCTTTCTAAAAGCCTTTAACAGATCTGCACAGATTGTAAATGTTCAATATAAAAATAAAAAGAAAGATATTAAAATATGATACAGTAAAAATTTTAAATAGTAAAGCACAGATAACAAATACCAGTTGTACCCCTTTCATACACGGGCTAAAAGCTGGAGTCATGTCATGTACCACTTTCTGATTAAACAAATTGATTTATTGACCTGAAACAAAACTTTGTTTGGCATTAAGTATCTTAAGGCTTTATTGCTTTCAGTTAAATGTGGCAACTGAATTTATAATCCTCACTAAAAACATGGAAGTGTTTTGGTTGAGTTTATAAATCCAAACTCTCTGTGTACCAGGAGGGTAAGGTTAACAGTCAGTCAGTGGCTTTTAGCCATAAAGAGAAAACATGTCAAAGAATTACTCATTTGTGGCTGAAATCATGTGAACTGTCATTTCAAAGGGGCTGATATTCCCCCTTTTTCCATCTTTGATATGCTTGATCTTGGCGCAAATAGTTTTGTTGGTGAACCAAACAATTCCAGACCACCAGAGCTGTTAGCAAACCTTAGAGGTGGGTGTGGCTTTTCTTCACCTGCAGGAAGGGAGGGACAACGACATCATCGGAGTCATCGGAGTGAGCCTCGTCCAGGGCCACACACGGGGGAGAGCAGGACCTGCCTGAAAGGATTCCAGCAAACAAGCTCATCAACACACAGCACCGACCAAAACAAACCCTGGGGGCAAATGGGCCATTCTCTGAGCCAGCAAGTTCCCAAGTTTACCTGGAGTCATCCAGTTATGGATGGCTGTGATCTTTTTGGGTATGGAGCTGTTTGTGCTCCTCTTTAACGAGCCACAGTGCACAGCAAGGGCTGGGCTGACACACTGACCATGTGTGAGCTCCATTATTGCCCTTAAACCTTTGCAAGGGGTTACACACACCAAGTAAGGCCATTTGATACTGAAGCCATTGCAGGTCAAAAGCAAATATTCATTAAATGGCAAGAAAAGGAAAAATTGACCCAAGCTTAAACTACATAGAGAGATCACAATGAGAACTTGACTCAAAAATAGACAGAACAAAGGGAAATAGATGGAAAAAAAAGTCACTGTCTTTAACCCTTACACACGTAGAACACCCAAAATATTGTTCGCATGCTGTTCTACTGTAATGACAATAAAAACAGTGACCATACCATTGGGTTTTCCCCTTTTTAAAAAATTTGGTTTCTTTGCATCTTTTCCTGGATGTGTTTCTATGCATCTCAACCATTCCAATGTTTGAAGTTCAAGTTGTGAACAGATATTCTTGATGATTCCAGTAAACACTGGAGAGTCAGAGACATGAAATGAATATGTACAAAGTCCCTGACACAGGAAGAGCAGAACCAGCAGCTTACAACTCCTGTGCAAGAGATGTAGGAACTAAATGATGACTGCTATTAATACCTTCCAGCACAATATCCTCCCCTCAGCTATTAATACCTTCTAGCACAATATTCTTCCCTCAGCTCCACTTCTTTTTCAGTTTCAAACATAAATTCTCTGAAAAGACTCTCCCAGAGAAGAAAACAAATCAAGACAACCTGTGGTAGGAGGAGGAAACTGGCAAGAAGCCACAGTCTGAGGTTTTGACCTGAACTGGAGGGCACACAGAGAATATTATCCAGGGACAACAGACCTGCCACAGGGCTTGTAGTGAAATAAGAGATTCCTGACACAGGAAAAAAAAATATCCTGGTATGGAAGAGCAGGCAAACACAGAAAGTGGAACATGGAATAAAGAAAAGGGACCACAACTGGCCCAGGAATAGGAAAAGAGTGACAGAGCCTGTGAATGGCAAGAGGGATGAAGGGAGACCATTATATTACATTGACCTCAGCCTAAAAAACAAGGAAACACAAGATTTTCTAGGTAAGTGAAAATCTTCTCTGCATCAGACAACCAATAATGGCAGAGTTTTTCAGGGAGATTTATGAGATAGTAGCACTGGTGATATGGAGGAGCAAAGGGAACTGCCAAAACCAGGCATGACAACCAGAAGAAGCAGCTCCAAGAATAAATATATTATACATGAAATAGCTTAATTTTATCCAAATCACCCTTTATTATATCCTGCTCCTGACATATGAGATTTTCTTGTCCTCATTTTCAGTTTGATTTCAACTTCATCTTGTTGCTTGTGAAGGCTAAGCACTGATATGAGTTAAGGGTTGCATGTAAATTCATTAGGATTCCAAAAAAGCCTGAAATGAAGTTAACAGTTGCAGCCAGAGTGGCCAGCAGTATGCAAAGAGAAACACTGCCCTTAATCAAGATTGCTGTGCATGCACAGAACATATTCTTCCTTCCTGTCACTCCCTGACAGAACAAAACAAAACACAACACCAAGTTTCACAGGCTGAATCGTTAATTTCTCTTTCATTTCATGGGAAACAGCAGGAATGGCTTTATAAAACCTCCAGCTCCTGAAGACAAGCAAAGCAGCACTGAATAATACTTCTAAAAAAAATGTTTTCTATTCCTAGAAAATACAGAGATATCTAACCTGATGCAAACAATGAATTATAAGTCTGCAATGCCACACCAGGATTATATACATTCATTCTAGCACATGTAGAAAGTGTTTTAAAACACATTTTCATCCTCCACATTGTTCTTCAAATAATGCCAAAGGGTAGTGAATTGAAATGATTTACTGCAATACAGATATTGACTGAAAGCTTAAGATCATTTTAAGACCTAGAGGTCATGAAATGCAAGTCTGGACTTGGGACAAATGAAGAAACAACTTGTTCTTTCTTTAGCAGCATGATTTAAAGCTGTAAGAATGTGATTGCTTTTAAATCACTCAGCTGCTCAACAAGCTCCTTGTCTCACATCCTTTCCAGGCTGCAGGATGACCACTGAAATCCCAATTTACCATCAAACCCCAGTTTTGCAAGTAGATTTTTCTATCAGTCATGAGCTCAGAATGGCAGGGGTGGACTTTTAGTTAACTTTAACTTAAGCTATATAAATCCACATGGCAAAAACCCAAACAGATCCTTGAGGGGTTGCATTTACACCAGCATGCTCTCCTTCCTTTAGGAGGCTTTTCCTAATTCATTTTTGGGAGATTTTGGTTAAACACTCCCATGCACAAGGATCTAATACTTCAGAGAGCTCAGTGCCAGGCAGACTTTTGGGCAGCTGTGCAGTTACAGAAGCACATCCCCAGTGTGCCTCCCCACAAACCACCTGGATACATTCTGTCCTCATCCTAGAGCTTGTAAACATCTCCCACATTGATAAAATCAGCAGCAAACAAAACCTGCTCTGCTCCCAGTCACTCCTTTTTGGTATTCACAGGAAAGGACTGCAAGAAAGAGTTTCAGAGTATGGTTTCCTCTGTCTCTCTTCCAGTATAAATTATCCCAGAACTTCTTCACTCATCAGCTTGTCATCATAATCTGCAATAAAACTTAGCTTAGGAGACTTCATAGCTAGACAATGACTGTGCCCTGCTGGTATTCACTCATATGACTGTGCTCACTGGGCTTGCTCATCTTACACTCCTCTGTGGGCCCTAGAAGGACTAAACATTTAAGGGATTCTTTCTCTTTGAGCAGAATTTTGATTTACCCTGGCTTTAGAGTGAGCATGCCAATAATGACCACTGCAGTAGAGCTCAGGCAAATCAAGGTGCTGCAGCACTATTTTTTTTCCTGGATACTATCACCAGACATAATCAAAGTCACTCAAAACTCAAACATCTTCAGAAGCAAGGACTTCCTTCACAAAGCAGAACGTGCCTCTGAATATGGAACACAGTGAAGTTTCTTAAACACATTTTTTTCCACTGAAGTGTTACCTCTGTTTTCACAAGCCATGCAAATCTGGCTTATTCCCCACCTCCTATCTTAGAGAAACAGCCTCACTGCTTACAGAATTCTCTGTCTCTGAGCAAGCCTGCAGGGACTGAGAGCTTTTCATTGACAAAAAAACTGAGCCAGTGTTTCTCAGGTCACACTCAAAGTTGTTCCTTTTCTCCCCATCTGGTCCATAAAAGCCTCAAATGTCCCACTCTGGACAGAACCATCCCTTTTCAATTTAACTGCCTTGAAGCTGCATGTCTAAGGCCGTCTGATCTGCAGCATTGCTTTGTCTTTCTTACTCAGTACTCCTATCATCCTCCTAAAAGCCTCTTTGGCTTTAACTCCATCTTCTTCTCACAAACAGCAAGAAGGAATCCAAGAAGAAAACCAAAAGGCACAAGAGCCATAAAAGAGACAGATTTTCTCAGTTTGTATTACAGTAGTACTTGCTGGCAAGGTTATCCAGGACTTCATTTTCCCCCTTACTGCAGCAACTGAAGAGTGCTGAAAACACCATGACCAAATGCACATGGCTGCCTAGGATGGCTCTTTTTAGCAGATGTCTGTCTGTCTTCTGCAGAAATTAAGTCAGGGTGGTGGAAATGCTCTCAGCTTGTCTATGGCTGAGGGCCCAAAATGTGATGGGAAGTACCATACTGCAGCTACAGGGCTGAAAAGGAAGCAGAGAGGCAATGCATGGGAACACCATGTTCCCTCAATAATTACCACTTACATCAGAGAGACCTTCCAAGCCACAGCTGGGACAAACAGACAAAGCACTGTGAAGAAGCTGCTGCTGAGACTGTCAGAGGTTTTGTTTTTTATGCAGGGAACTGCACGTGTCAGTAGAAGCAACATGCCACCAAATGAAGCCACCCCCAGGGAGCACAAGGCTGCACATGTGTGTGCACATGCAGATTCTCTACAAAACTGTGCAGGCACCCACTGAAAACACCCAGACTTTTGAACACAGGGCAGAGAGATTACCAGGAAGAGGAGATGTGGGGACGGAAGATTCCTCGAGTGCTGCTGAGTCTGGTCTCTCCTCTGAGCTGGGAACTGCAGGATCTGCTTTCTCACTGGGGGCACTGGGCACAGAGGGCCTGCAAAGAGACACACTCAGAGCATGAGGCACAGAACAGTGTTTGCAGTCTCTCTGCACAGGCTGTGCTGAAAAGTTTCTTGTGTTGTTGCTCTATCACCTGCAGAAGTGAACCCAGACACTGAACAGAGGTGACAGCCATGTAACCCTCCTTGTAACCATGGCAGCTGACATTAAAAACTTTCAGAGCAGTAAACCCTGGAGAGAAAGAAGTATTTTTCAAGACAGAGTCACCATAAACCTAAGCAGTAATCAAATCCCTGCACCCTGCCTGAGCTAAGTGACTTGATGGCATTCTAGCTTCTTCCTCCTCTTCCTCCACATAACCCTTCAGCTGCACATGTCAGGGCTTCAGATCCACACATTAAGCAAATGCATCAGCAATCTGTGTGATAACAACAACAGTAACCTTTCTGTTCCACAGAGGAATTATTTCACTTTACTTTCACTCTCTGCTATGGGAGAGAACATGCAGCAGGACATGGGAAGACTCCTGCTGCCACAAAGCTCCCTTTAGTTGCACATCTTTTGAATCTTCTCAGGAATTAGCTCTCCCTTGTCTTTTCTTATAACAGTGGCCTTGTTCTCCCTCTCTGCCAAGGAACCCACACTAAAAATCTGTTAAAAAAATACTCCTCTACTGTAATGAAAATGATTTTGCTATTGCATGTTGCAGAAATATCTACTCCTGGCTTACCTCTCCTGAAGGGATTCTGTATGTGCCAAGTGAGCTCTGAAAATGGACTGGATGAATGTCACAATCTCATCTCTCTCCTTGCAATCAGAAGAAAAGCTCGAGGAGTCTGACATGGAAGACAGGCAGGAGTTCTGCAAAGCAATCAGATTAAAGAAAACTGACCTTTTACAGATTGCACAGAAGCTCTACAGAACCTTTCACAATCTTCTTGATTGTGAAACTGGCAGTAGAACAAACATCCCCATCTTTTGGTCTGCAGTTTTTAAGGTTCTGTAAGACTAAATCAGCAGGAAATGCAAATCTGATCATCATGTAAGCTTTGAAGAATCAGCATTCAATTAATGAAAGAGCAGACACCTGCAAGGAAAGTTCATTTATTTTCCAGGAAGGAAACCTTTTGAAGATTAAGGAGGTAAGACTACCTTCATAATGGATTTATTTTATGCTTGTATCAAACCAAGTATCCAGTCCCCCTACATTGGGCCAGTTTACCAGAATCAAAGAGCATGGAAAGTACAATCAGATGGACAGCCTGGATGGAGAATTACAAATTAACTATAGCCTGCTAAAGGTCCAAAGGATATTTGTATAACCTGGCAAATTATTTACAGAAACTGAATGTTTAATTGGTAAGGAAATTTTTTCATATTCAAAACTGAATAATCTGGAGCAAACTGGACATGAGACAGGACACCAAGTCTTGGGTTAACCATGCCTCATCAAGACTCCTTTACTTTCAAATCCAATAAGAGATGTTTTCCAGATTCTTATTGCTGAACTTTAGTGAAAGAAGTTTATCTATGGCTCCAGTGATTGAGCAGTGAACCCTTGAGAGCAGGTAAAGTTTTCAACAGACTCCAAATTGAACAGTTAAAGGGGGTTCTACCTGATGAAAGAACCAGGAAAAAAAAAAGAGTTACAGTGTTACAGACCACAAGGCTGAGAAGTTACAGCTTTACTTCTTAAGAAAAAGTGTGAACTACAGAAAGCAAGAAGGGAAGCCAGGGATTGAGCTCAGCGTCTCTTTAGAATAACAGTGGTGTTGCCAACCAGCCCATTAAAACAATCACCAGGTGATTCAACAAATCAAGGCTGGAAGTGAAGTCCTTTACAGGGCAAGATAAACACAGAGTGATGCTGGGATCCCCATGTGTCCCCACAATTACCTCGGTGTGAGACTCTGCATCAGGCACCCCAGCATCCCCAGCATCCAGCAGCACTTTCTGCCGAGATAAATGTCCCCTGAAGGCTGCCTGGAGCAGAACAACTGCCTGCCATGGAGAGAAGTGCCCATTAGCTCCTCTGAGAGATAACCCCACACACTGCACCCCCAGGGGCAGCTCTGGGCTTTAAATTCCACCTGGGAGGTGCTCAGGACTGATCCTATCAAATGCAGAGAAGTAGGAGCTGCCAGCACCAGCCTGAATTTCACTACCACAGCACCGTGCTCCCATTCCATTCAGATTCTGGGTACACAGAAGGCTCTGAGATGCTCTGCTGCAATCAGAAACCAAACTAAGGCTGGCAGACCTCATGTGATTGCACTGAAGGCAAGGCCTTCCACTCACCTCAGAGATTTTATTGGGTTATAATCAACAAAAAAGCCTTTAGAACAGCATGTTTGTGTCACATGGTTAGAATGAATTCTAATTTATGAAAGTGGGATTTTTAATGCTCTGGAAGAAACAAAGGTAAGATGCTACATTGTGCTATTTTAAAAAATGGTTTAATTAAAACCCTTCTGCAAAACATTCATCAAGAAATGACTTTGTGTGACAAACTTCTCATTATCTTCATAATTCTCACAGATATTCTTCCTTAGCAAAAGCTTCAAATCCTATTTCAAATCTTTCTGAAGATTCATCATAATGAAAATTAAATCAGGATCAGAGTTATCACATTTAGAAAAACTTTATTGTCTGTTGGTATCAGATTTGGTTCAGAATTTTCAGAAGCTTTCACCTTGCAGAAGGTGCCAACTATGGAAAATTAGAGACCAAAAACTCGAGACCACTGACAAAATACATGAAACAAAATCAGGATGTCAGAAGAAGATTATAGCCAGGCTGAAGAACAAATATTGTCTTGGCTGCTTCCCCTTTGATACAAATCAAATCTGTTGTACTGGTTTTTGGGTGTCATAAACACACTCACCTCATGCAGAGCAACTTCTTCTTTCTGAAATGAAAAATGCCCATGTTAATGCCATAAATATATACAGGTTTTAGCTAATAAAGATTTGCCAAATTTTCTCAATAATTAAAAGACACAGAAAACACTTGTCCAAACCTCTGCCAAACCCAAACAACATAATCTTTCAAGATGTGTGGAGAGATGCTAAAACAAGATAAGATTCAGAGGGGGCACAGCTGTTCCCTGATAGGAGAATCTCACCTTGGATTTGTACATCTTCCAGTATCTCTGGATAATTCTGGCTGCTTGTTCTTTCCTGTGACTTTCTTTGCCTGTCACTGTGCAGACTGGAGGAGCCTGCAAAGGAGAATCACTAAGTTAGCACAGTAAAGGCAGAGCTGTGAGGGAACAGATTACAAATAACTCAGGAAAATCAGCACCAGAGCTCATCCTGCCTGCAGGGCACAGGGAAGTTCAAGAGGAAACTCTTAATTCTGAACCCTGCTTGTGTTCAAACTCATCCTGGAGACGACTCTGAGAGTGAAACACATCCCTGCCCCTCTCAGCCCTCAGCAGGGCATGGGAATGGAGAAGTTTCCATTTGCACACACTCCTATTTTTCTGTGCATTGCTAACTCACTGCTTTGTTGCTCAGAAATGATTTGTGTGTTAGCAACAGACTGAGAACAAAAATCAGGTTATCTGACTCTGCAGTTCTCCTCCAGGAAAGTCAAGTATTAATTAACCGGAGAGGTCTCTTGTGCCTCATCCTGGCAACTGTGGCCCCATAATCATCTCTTTAAGCTTACTGAGAGTTGGCCATTGCATGACACCAAGCTTGTGTAAGTTGGCATAAATCTACTCTTCTATCTTAATGACATTAATTAGAGGAAAAAGGAAGAAACCAAGAATAAAACAAGATCTTGTTCCAATAATTTCTCCTGAGGTGTGGTTGCATATTCCACCTCTCACCACTTGATCCTTCTGATCCCAAATTATCCCACCCTACTTGTCATACCTCACAATACCAAACAAAAGTTAACTGCAAGTTTAAAAGATTAATTTAATTTGTTGGTGTAAAATTTTAACTAGAGGAACAAGAGATTTTATAGACTCTGAAAAAACCTCTTGATTCTGTGAAAAGAATTTATTTATAACCTAAAACCGCCGAGCTCCAGGCTTAAGTTTAGCAAATGGATCATGTCATATTAAAAATGACAACCTACTATTAAAATGAGAAATTGGTAGGAACTTAGTGATAATTACAAATAATGGGAACATTTCAATAAATGGATGGTTACTGGCCAAGAATATATATAGTCTGCAGAGGGAAAAAGGAGCTGTTTGTTGGCTGTTTTTAAAGACTCCGGTTATTTGGTATTCAAAACATCCTCTAGCATCCATGAGCCTGTAACACACAGAAAAGAATCTACAGAATGGCACAGTATATCAGAAACCAGAACCCTCTGAAGCCACTGGACATTTTTATTAGCATTTTTTACTATGTGTATTTCAGGGTCTATTTATTTTTAAGTGCAAATCAAAACCCCAATAACAATTTCCAAGTAATATTTAGTGAAATGAGATTAACATGGCCACAGTGCCTCTGAAAGCAGCTCTGTCAGTGCCCACCCATCTCTGCTGGCCAATTACCTCACTGGGAAGAAGGACAGAAGATTGCAGAGATAACAAGCTCAGACATATTTTACAAAACCCCAAACTGATTCAAGAGCCACACAAAATCACCCTCTCTCTACAAAATCAGACTGAAATTAGGAAATGGCCTCAGATGCTGTAAGAAGATAAAAGTAACCATAATTTTTTTATTTTTTTAAGTTCTGGGAAAAACCCCAAACATTAAAAGTTTAAGACTTTTGCAATATTACACTGAGCAAGAAAAAAACAACAACAATGCAGAGGATCACTAACAGAACAGCTTCAAAAAACTCCCCAAACTGCAGTGTTAATTATTGAAATAACTTATTTCCAACAAATACCGGCAGTTAACCATCATTATCTCCAAGACAAGATTTAATGCATCTCTGAAAAAACACAAGTAGCAGCTCTTTGGACTACCAGCTCCATTTGAAATCTATATCAGACACAAAGAAAAAAGAAAAACACAAACAAAAATGTGGCTGTACCTTATTAAGCTTTTCCACTGTATCTTCTCCAATTTGTCTTTTCTCCTCCTCCAGTTTTAACTCCAGTTTTCCTACTTTCTGTGTCAGGTTCTGGATTTCCTCACTATGGTTGGAGAAGCAAAGATATTTATAGCTTATAGAAATTTTCTGTTGACCCTGCTTTGAAAATATTGAACCTATTTCATAACACTTTGGGTTTGTTTTTTAAGGCCAAGGAGGGAAACTGCTCAGGATGATACCTGTTCTCATAGTAACAGACACATAACATCAATTCTCAATCTGTGATAGCACAGCCTTATGTTAAAATTAAGGTTACTGTGGTAGCCTTGATACTATAATAATGTATTTAGATCTGCTACAGTTTTGTATTTGTCAGTCAAAATCTTTTCTCACAAAACAATATTGAAATCACTTTTTTGTGCCTCCCTTGCAGAGGACTCTCACTCACAGTTGTACAGAATACAAGGAGTAACTGGAATGACACAGACAATGGTCTAGAAACACAGGCCAAGGTAAAGAGAATACAACATTTTCATAGAGAAAAAAACTCTGAGCCCAACATAAAAGCTTTTTCCATCTATCTTATGAATTTTTATTATAATTTAAATCTTATTTTTACTATCCTACTTAGTCTTCAACTTCCTCCAAGAGCACTCTATAGAAGTCTTCCCCCAGTAACTTACTCCATCCCTCCAAACACTTCTGCTTAAAAGAATCCCCAGCTTCTTGCAGTTCAGATGAACTCCTTCAGAATTTGAGCCACTTCAAAAGAGAATTATACTTTAGGAGATTTATTTTGGGTTCCAAAAGGATCTATTAATACAAAATGCTTTACCTTAAAGTCTGCTCTTCTGTACTTTTTTCTTCCATCTTACTCTGCCACTTCTGCAGCTCCAGCTCCACTTCAGCCTTAGCCTGCAGTAGCTGCTTGATATCTAATCTACAGAGGTACAACAAAATCTCAGTGATACCTGACACATTCATACTTTCACCAAGTAGTTATTTTTCCTTTAAACTTTTAAATCAATTGCGTTTTCTCAAATTTGTAAAGTAACTGAATGTTTAATTTTTCCTTTTAAACAAAACTAAGTGCAAGCACCCATTGCTGAGGAGCAAAGGCCTCCCCGGGTGCTCTCTCTGTGCATTTTTGTTCAGAGGTGACACAGGAGGCAGAGTGTCCCCAACACACCTCCCTGTGGCCATGTCCCTGCTCACAGTGCTCAGATTCAGCTGCCCCAAGGCCCTGACACACCAAACAGCCCAGGCAATACAAACTGCAAATCATCACTTATGGGGAGAACAGAAGCCACAGAGCATCCCAGGGCAGAAGGGAGGTTTAAATGGAGAAAGTGGGAGATCAGGACAAAACACGTTGGAAAAAAAAAAAAAACCCACAAATTTTTACAGCACAATACAAACAGGAAGTGCTGCATAAACATATAACTTTTCAAAGGGTTTTTAGTGTGGCTGGCAGAAAAATAAGCCTTGAAAAATGTGCTAGAAACAATCAGAAATTCTCATTTTCCATCCTCTGGCTTTTCTTCTTCAATGTAATATTATGAAGCAAGTAGGACTAGAACCAAGTTTTTAAAATAAAAACTGAAGGGATTCTCAAAATCAATATTCTAATTGAAAATGTGAATTCCTTATTACATCATTTCATAACAGGAACAGAAATGATGAAACACTTCACACCTACAGAAGAACACCCCAGACAAGTCACACTTACTCTTTACTGAGCAGGAGATTCTGCAGTGCCTGCCTGTCATCCTGCAGTTTCTTCACCTGCCTCTGGAGGCGACAGCATTCCTCACCTAAATGCTGGGATGCTGGATGGTCCAGGTCCACAGAATGGGAGGATGACTCAGGAAGCACTGGTGATGCCTCACTGTCACCTAAGGACACCCTGCTGCTCTCCATGGCACACACTTTCTAAAGCAGGGTAAATTCACATGGAAAACACACACACACAAAAAGAGAAAATTTAATTTAGTGTGAAATTACTTTATTTAGGCTGTGAGAAAAGATCAAATGGAGGTTAATTCTAAAATGTGCACCTATATCTAACAAGTGTGAGAGAAGAAAACAGGGAGGGAGGGCTCATGCTACGGCAGCAGGTTATGTGTGTGAGGCAGAATGCACAAGGCTGAGACACTGAAGGACAAGGCAGTAGTTCTGCATTTTCTGCTCCCAGACAGGTAAGAAAGCCACTTAACTATGATCACTTACTTTTTCTAGATCCAAAATCTTCTTCACCAGCCTCTGTCTGCCCCACTCACTATAATCTAAATACAATAACAAAACTTTAAACATGTAACCACATCCATGGGGCAACATTGTTCTTGCTTTTTGAAACTTCTGGCCTTATCAAAACACCATTTAAAGATGTCCGAATGCCAAGTTTAAATATCTACCAATGAAAAAATGAGAATGGGCTTAAAATATTTGACTTCTAAACCAATTAGCTCAGAAATCAATGTAAGCCACTCATGTTCACCAGTTTTCATCTATTAAAAAGGTTTCCTCTATCAATTCCAGTTTAAATTCTCAGGGACAATAACAGAGGAGACACAGATCTGACTGGAGAAATCAGAGACTCCTCAAGGAAGGTTCTCCTTCCAATTTTGCCACTCCTGAATGCTCACCTTGTAATAAATCCCTTATTTCTCCCTTTGTAGGGTCCTGCTGTCACACCTCTTTCAGCCGTACCCAAACCCCTTTCCTCACCCTCAGAGATTTTCCAGCACACACTTTTTGTTTTGCTGAGAGGAGGGGAAGTGCTCAGCACGTGATCCAGGTCCTCCTTCAGCCTGCGGTTCTCAGCCTGCATTTCCCTGATGTTCCTGGAGAGCCTCAGCACTGCAGCATTCAGGGCCTTCAGCCGTTTCTGGGTGTCTCTGCCCTCTGCACTTGGAAAAGGGATCAAAACCAGAAAGTTAACTTAAAAGCAGAGAACAGAGCAGCAGCATTAAAAAGAGTGGAGCAGCTTCACTATTCCAGTCAGATGGCTGAGTTGACAGCCTCAGTTCCCCCATAATAACATTTCTCAATGTTTTCTTTACTTGAAGAGTTATCTATTCTTCTTTGAAAAAGCATGCAAAGATCATCCTGCTCAACGCTTCCACAATTGTTTTAATTTGCGTCAAAAAATTTGAAACATTGAAAATTCATTTCTTACTTTTACTTCCTCCCCCACTCTGTTCCTTTATGCACAAACAAAGGCACTTGTATGAATGTTATTTATCTTATTTTCTGTTTGTTTTGTTAACCAACCTTAAAATGTTTTACCAGCACTCTGTGAACCTCTGATTTAAAAAATGCTTCAGTAAACTGTGAGACTCCTCCAAAAAACTGTCCAGCACAGAGAGAGCCAACCTGCAGGCTCTGAATGGGCTTTTGTTCACTAACAAACATTGAGAGATGGAGGGATAGACAGAGATGGGATAACTCTCAAACAAATCCAACACCCAAGTGTATTTTCAGGTAACTGGAAATGGTGCTCTACTGTAAAAGACATTATCCGTGTGTCTATAAACCCCAGAGAGATCTGAAACAGATTTGAAGAACACAGCTAATATGGAAATGAAAAGCATCAGAAATGAGAAAGTGTGTTGAAACAACTTTAAATATACTACAGGGATTTAATTTTTTTTTCTAATCTGAGTTTCTAGATGTGCAAAGTTGCAACATTTGTTCACAAAACAGACTTTTAGTGAGATGAAATAGATTTGCTTTATTGCTATGAGAAAATTCCCAAAACCTTTATCCTGGAAATAAAGGCCTGAAGTAACTGATGGACTTGGTTTTGCACAAATGCCACTGCCAGTGACAACCACAGAACAGTTTGTGAAGGAATCTTACATCCCATCCACTGGAATAATTACAAGGTAAAAGGGGAGACAGCCTACAGTTAGCATATCAAAAAAGGCTGAATTTTTAGCTAATCTCCTTCTTAGAAATGAAAAAGAAATTAAGAAAAAAACAAACAAAATAAGGTTGTCCAGGTGTCATGTATGACTATCCCCAGAGCTGTGCCAGGCAGGAGGGAAAACAAAGAGAAAAAACCAAAACACAACACACCATCAAAACGGGGTAGTGACAGGAATGATAGAAACCATAACCAGACCATTCAGTGACATTATTTTAGGCTTATCTAAACCTAAATAAAGAAAACATATTTCAGTCCATTTTGAGAGCTGAGAAAGTCAGTTTCTAGCTACAAATGGATACTGCAGCTTCACATACAAATAACCAGACTCCAGCATTAACACTGAAAAAGAGAAGCCAAATGCCACTCACATCAGGCAAAACTAATGGAGACAAGCATCATGAAAGAAATACTCTCAAACAACTCTTTCAACATGCCAGAGTCCTGACCTTCAACGTGATTTATTATTTCAGTGCTCAGCCTCTCCAGCAGAGACTGGCAGTCCTGTAATGGAGAGAGACTGCCCTGACCACCACTTTTTGAAGCTATGAATAAATGAGGACAAGGAAGAGACCTGTGACTCATTTTCACCTGTAAATAAATGAGGTGTGATGGCTTAGAGCCTTGAGAGGCTGGTCACTGCAGGCCTGAGCCAAAAGAATAATTTTTTTAAAAAAATGACAAAAAAACCTGCAGTTTTCAATCCACAAGTGACAGTGAATTATGGAACACAAGCAGTACAAATAATGAAGCAAAAGAATTCTCACATGTTTCTATCAATCTAAATAATTACACTCAGTGTTAAGACAGTTGTCTGTACCTCACACTAAGAGGTCAAGTATATTTTGAAGTGGTGTGGTAACAAATTTTACTGTCCTACAAGACATTCTTACTCTTTTTTCAGCTCAAATAACACTCACTTGCAGTGATGCTTTTAATTTGTTCTCTTAGTGGACTTTTGTCTTCTGCCTTTGTGCTTTGACTTTCATTGCCTCTATAAACTGTTCACTTTCATGCCCACACTTGCACACCAGTGACAAGCACTAGTGTAAGGTTCTCTGACACAATTTACTAGTTTGTGTCTCTGTACCAAAGGAAAAGAATGTTTACTCCAAGAACATTTTCTCTGCAGCACACACTCTAGAGCAAGATGCAGAACTGACTCAAGTGTGAAATGCCAAACATCCAGGGAGTTTGTTTCAATTACCAGCAATGCCAGAATGGGTGTGATTATGAGGGAAGATGTAACAGAGATAAATTTTCAGTGCTACCCTGTACTTTTTAAATAGCTCTGGTATTTTTCCAGATCCATAAAATGATCTATCTACAAGCAAAAAAATGTGACTAAGACATATTTCAAGGCTGTGAAGCCAACTAAAGCAGCACCAAAAAAGCAAATCCAGCAATCTAAATGACAAAAAATGTTCCCATGTAGTAGTTTTCCATCAGTTAAAGTAGGACTCCAGTGATGTGTCAAACACACAAACATTTTTATCAGAAGAATTAAACATACTTTTTCCTCATAGTCTCAGACTTGGCCAGAAGGAGCTGCAGGCGATGAACCTGGGAAAAACAGATTCCATTAAGGAGCATCAGCAATGTCAGCTTCCACAGCAACACATCTGTTCATTAGGTGAAAATCAGAACAAGACTCTCTGGGCAGTGGCAGAGCTAATGATGCCATCACTGAAGATCAGGCTACTGCTAAATTTGCTTCCATCTCAACATTAAACTTATGGATGTACACTGGATTCTTTATTTGCCCTTTTTCATTAACACACTCAACTTATTGAATAAAACATTTTTCCAGTACATACAGCTGGAGCTGTGAGAATAACTATGAAAACCTGCTACCAATGACAGGTGCCGTTAAGGCACAAGAAACTTATCTTAAACATTCCATTTGCACTTTGACTCAACAACTGCCCAGCCTCCTGTCCTGCATGCACCCTGAAGGACCTGCCACACATACCTCTTCATAGTAGGTTTCCATGGCTAACCTCACTTCTTCCAAACTACTGGTCTTCATCTCTGCCTGGGACTCACTGAAAATAGAATAATACAAAAAAAAGAACCCAGTCAGATCAGCAAAGACACTGCAAGCTGGTGGTTCATAATTTTTTTGGTTTATAATTGCCAATATGTTTTTGGGAGTTTATGAAAATGTCTTAAGGAATAGAACACAAATGAAAAATAACATGGATTTCCAATTTTCTCTATTAGCTCATCCAATACAAGCCTCTACCCCCTGCCCCCTCAAAGTCATACTTAATAGTGTTGTCTTTCTCCTTGCACTGCTCTTCAAGCTTGACAATCTTCTGCTTTAATCCAGTAACCACCTACAGAAAGAACAAAGAGCTCGTGAGTCCTTGAATAATCTGTCTCTTCACAGAAGGTCTATTCCTGTCTGCCCTGTCTTTATACATTGTACCCAGTCAGATATACTTATTTCTACATATTTCAGTCCTTAGTAAATCATACACATCTGCTACCCTGTGAAAAAGAGAATACTGATAAAATCAGATACTTGACTTCATAATGAGTTTAACAATATGGATATACAGCCATAAAATAAAACAATGTTGCCCACTACCTTGCCAACAAATACTGCCTAAACAGACTCAAAACAATGACAAAGAAAGCTCCCCAAAATCATGTTAATTCTAGATTTTTGTTAGTTCTAGTCTTTGACTCCTTACCTGCTAACAGAGAAACAGGTTATGTGATTCCCTAACTGATTATTCTTTCTGACCTAATTTTATTTTTTAGTAGTGTTTCACCTTAGCAAGAGGAAAAAGGACAAATGAAAGCAGGAAGTGATGAAGACACTCTTACCCATCCATTATCAGTCTTCTTTTCTGACCAAGGTCGTGCCAGCTCAGAGCCCTGCAACAGAAAAAGGAAATTACAAACTCTGCTACTTTATTCTACTGCTGGCTCTTTCCCCAGAATTTTCCAACCTGCTCAACTCCACAGTCCAACAGCTGAAATTCTGAATTCCCCATGCCCACAGCTTTCTATTAGGACATTTCTCCCAAGATGTAGGTCTGCACACAGTGACAGCCACAAGAAATTCAGTAAGATTCAAGTCTGCCCACAACCACAAATGCTTCTTGTCAGGGCCTGAAAAGGCTGTTCCTCTGCCTCCTGGTCAGGTCTCAGGACTACAAAATGTTAACTCCCTTCTACTCTCAGGCAAAATATTCAGAAAGTGGGCTCCTAATGAGACAGCACTTTTGTTTTACCTTCAGAAATTAAAAGTATTTGTGCTAAATGAACGTATCTGTAGTGCACGGCATCATCTTCCTTTGAACTGAGCTGGACTGCTGATTTGAGATACAGAGACCAGAAATCCCTTTTACGCCACCTCCCATATTCCAGCTCATCACTCCTAGGAGTCACCACACTACAAACTCCCACTCTTTTGCCCCACTTTTATCCCCACAAGAAATCCCCACCCTGGAAGGATCCAGCAGTTGCTCAATCTGTTTGTCCTTTCTACTGTTCTCCTCTTCCAGGCGACGGAGCTTGGTCTTCATTCTGTCTCCCTCATTCTTCTGAGCTTGTATTGTCTAAAAGAGGGGAGAAGAATCACTTCAGAAATAGGAAAATGCAGAGTTTTCACATGGAATCACATTTTGATGTCAAAACCAATCCAATTATGATGGTAAAGATGACATGGAGAAGATGACAAAACAGCCAAAACACAAAACCATCACACTGGACTAGGACAGACACCAGGACAGCTTAGAGAGGAGACAGAGGGAAGATAAAAGGAAAAGGTCTTACAGAAAGTCAGTCTTACACAAACAATCAACCACAGCCAAGTATCTGTCCATAGGTAACCCCAGAGTTCAACAAGCCCAGTCCTCACCCTTCATACGGTTCACCAACCTCTACAGAAAACTCTAACCATATCACCACAGTGAATTTGTCTTAGACAGACACAAGTTTTAGTTTTGCCCTACATTACAAATGCAAAAAAATGTGGTGGATATCCCAAGCTGTAGAAACCAAAGTATTCTGGATCATTAAGGCCATGGAGCAATGCCATGAGTTTTTCTGTAGTATCAGAGAAACTGTACCTTTTTCAGTTCTAAAATTTCATCATACATGTCTTCTTTCTCTTTGTAGTCAGGAGTTCCAGGAACGTAGCCTACAGAAAGGGGCATGTAAAATAAGCAGATCCAAAAGAGGTATTTTCAACCAACCAGAAACCTTGCAGATAAAGAGAAATATCTAGAACAGCACCAAAGTGGAAACTAGGTTTTTCTCCTTTCCTCGAAGAAGAAAAATCAACAAGGAAATTAATTTTAGAAACAGAGGTGAAATGGAAGTGTTACTGTATGAAACTTCTGCCAGATTTTGCAGCCAATTTTCTCCTAATTACTTCTCTGGTGCTATATTAAAATATCCATCTCAAGAAAGATACAAACTTCACAGATGACTGCAGTCTTCTCATCCCAATAAATCCATTATTACAAAAGGTTTCTAAAAGATGTCTAGAATGCATTTTTCTATTTATGCTTAACATGCACAAATATATCATCCTGTAAAGTTGCCAGAAACTGTGAATCACCAGTACACGTATAGGTGTCATTTTAAATGGAAGTGGGATTTTAAAGTTTACAGTTCTCCTTTAAGAAAAGCAGAATAAAACTTTGAAAGTTTGCTCTTCTCATAAAACTCATTTGATTTTAATGTCACAACCACATGATAAAACACTTTCTAGAGAAGAAGTAAAAGGAGTCAATTACACAGAATTTCAGGCAAGCAGATGGTTTCTATCAATGGTTCCTAAACTATGTTTTGAAGTCACAATAAATTGTCTACAGCTGTCCCATTGAACCATATTATATTTGCAACGTTTTCAGCTGCAAATGCATGGCAATTTGCAAAAGTTTTGAAAGCTAATAGTGATTCATTGCTCAAAAAAACTGGAAGTCCCTGCCTTAACCAATTTAGGAATCTCAAAAAGTATCTCATGGATCATATTTTCACACACGGATTTTAGTAAACTAAAATGGCTCTTGCTTTTCTTAAGCAATGTGTGTTTTTAGAGGGGCAAAGAAATAATTCACTTTTATCTACCACACCATTATAGGGCTTACCATTACTGGAAGAACGAGCATGTTTTGGCTTTTTCATTCCTAGAGCTTCCTTCAAATACTCTGGAGTGCTACTGGAAACATTAGCTCGCACATGCCCCGTGTCAGCATCTGATTTCAGAGCATGGCTCATTCCTGCCAAGAGAAATGGAACAAAAATGCAAAAATCAGGGATAATTGTGAATTAAATTTGTGGAATTATTCTGAACAAATGCAACATGGAAAGCTCCAGATGCTGTTAATTATTCCCTCTGTAAATGCCAATGCTCAAGATCAGATAATTCCAACCACCCAAATAAATAACAGTGCAATTAACTCCTATGTAACCTTTAATCAAAAACATATTTTTAAATAGTTTATATGTTAAGCTGTCCACAACAATGAATTTAATCCATAAATGCAAACAACATTTCTATACTAATACCTTGTTTCAGAATTCCCAGCCACATCTGCCTTGGGTTTTCAACAGTTGCATTCTCAAAACAAGCACTGCCTGTTCCCTGCAGAGATCTCCAAGCTGCAGCTTTTCTAGGATACAGTTGTGTGCTGGAGCTGTAGGGAGACTCTGCAGCAAAAGAAAATATCTCAGTGCTGCCTTCAAAAGCTCAAGGTTACTAAAATTCTTGTTGTCTTGTTCTTCAAAGTTTCCAGACTCAATCCTATTACTTGTAAAAATAGAATTTCACAGCATATTCCATAATGGCTTATACAGAGCAATGGAACAGTCATATAAAAAAAGCCACAAAACCCAAAAAAATCCACTATAAATAAAAAAATACAATTCTAAAAAATGGAGAGGCTTAGAAAAAGCAGAGTGACAGTAGTGTGACTCAACACAGGTGGAAATATTTATGTGTACAGTTTGGATAGGCATCCTTAAGATACCTGAATATCTAAATGTTGTTATTAACAACACTTTAGGGTAACATTCACTAGAAGCCAATGAAGCAAGGCAAATGAAAAAGTATAGCAAAAAAACATAAACCCCAGAAAAAAAAAGACAAACCCAATACTAGAACTGCAGTTCTAATAATAACAACAACATTGTACAGTGAAAAACACCAAAACAACCCATCACAACAAATGAAACAGAGAACACCAAAACAGCCCATCACAACAAATGAAACAGAGAACCACTAAATCCACACCCAGAGATCTATGACTGGATGGTAGAGAGCTCCAGTAATTCCAGAGTCTGTCTGCACAACAGGTATCAGCATTTCTCCAGAAAAGACAAGGAGAAAAACAAATTCAGAATGGTTGCCATCAGAAGGCATAACATGAGAAAAAAAGTAAATTATGCTGGAGAATCAAGAATTACAACCAACTCATAAATGTCAATATTTTAGTCTATACAAGCTGGACTTCACAGGTTACAGAACAGATCTCAAATAGGTGCACACAGCAGTGAATAATTCTGAAGAGAATAACAAGATCTTATTTCAGATAAAGCTCCCAGTTCCTGTATCCCACAAACATATCCAGTTTTGCAACTGCAGAATAAGAAGTTTTGGAACACTTACTTGGTGACTTTGGAGGTTTGTGAAAAATCTTCTTCTTTAACTTCTGAAAGAGAAATGGATTTTTTTTCTGTATTGCAAATACTCTACTCTTAAGATATCATAATATAATCTCAAATTCAATCTCCCATTTGTAGGAAGATCTTTTGCTCTAATAAGACAAAACCTTTGCTATAGAGAAGAAAGATAGTAGCATTAAGCAGATGCAGATTTGGGCACAGCAAGGGTGACCAGAATTAAGGTGGTGCCAAGTGAAGTCTGATTATACAGATAAACTGTGAATTCTTGCTCAGAACAAGAGACCTTTCCCATCAATATTAAATATGAGTAGCAGAAAATTCAAAATGTCCCAAGTAGAGGCTGATCTGCAGAACCCTTTAGCTAAAGGAGTTAATCAATTCCATTAAAGCTCTCTAAAAGGATTACTTAAGCCCACAACTTGATAGAGCAGCAAAATAAAGCCAAACATCATTTGCCGCCCCAGTGCAGAGGATCTGGAAGGCAGAATTACATCTGAAATGAGAGATTTGTGACTCAAGCCCATTGTCACTGTTCACTCTCCTTCTGAGGGGTGCTTGGTGAGCAGGAGGCAGCACACAGATGAGCAGGAGCTCCAGAGGGGTTTTGGGGCACTAATCCAAACTCACCAGGGTTGTTTCTGACTGGCAGGTCACCACAGACAGGCTGTCATCTCCCTGCAACACAGACAGGACATTTGCTACTGAACAACTGCTTGTAATACACATCCGGAAAACTTGTACAGTTAACAAAGCTGGAGAGCAATAAATTCAAACAGTAAACACTGTGACCAAAGCCTCTGTTTCACTTCCATTGCATTGCTAAACTGTCAATTGTTTAAGACAAAAATAGGTCATTTTTCACTAAAGCAATTGAAGGATGGTGGGGCTCTTGCTGCAAAAGCCAGCATCATTTGCTCCATACAGATAGTTTTGGGATATTGTGAAAGTCACTTCAGCAATGAACAATTATAGAATGCTTTGGGTTGGAAGGGACCTTAAAGATCACCCAGGTTCAACCCCTGTGCCATGAGCAGGGACACTTTGAGGGCACCTGAGTCACAGAGACCTGGCACTGCAGTGCACAGCGCTGCCCCAGCTGAACCTTCATGGCTCTGCACGAATTTCTCCACCATTTAAGCTGCAACTCACCCAGCTCCTCCCTTCCTCCCTCACCTGTGCTACCTCTGCTGTGCTATGGGATTGTTCAGCTCCTGTACTGAAATGGAGAAGTACTCAGGCCAAGGGAAGAGACCTCAAATGCAAGGAAGATGACAAATTTCCCTCCCTCTCAAATGCAAGCATATCCACAGCTGAAGGAAAATTTCCACTTAGCTTCCAAATTATCTGGATGCTGCCCTCACAGAAAGATCTTTCCCACTTGCTGCTGCCTCTGAGGCACTCAGCAACAACCTTTGGACAGATGCTGATCTGTGCCTGCAGGAGGCAGGGGAGGGGATGAAGTATTTTTGGAAACCCTGGCTGGCAGAAGAGGAGCAAGGAGAGCAGGTTAAGGAGCCTGCCATGCTGGCTGAGAGCAGTGAGCGATGTGTCCTCACACACCAGCCCATAGAGTTTTTCATCTCCTGAGGCAATGCTCCTTGCAGCACACTGATTTTGTTATTTTAAGGTGTCTCATTCTGAAATATCTCTCCCTCACTGCAGCTATCATGTTTGGAATCAGACAATGTGGAGAGTGCCCGGCTTTGATAAATGGTAACAACAAAACTTGGCCAGGATACAAATATGCAGTAACAGCCCCAGCACTGTTGCTTGGTAACTTTCAGAGCCCCTTTGCTCCTGCAAAACTGCCCCAACCTGCAGCAGGCAGCAACAGAGCCTGGGGGCTCCCAGAGGGGCTCAGAACCCCCAGCTGGCTGCTGAAGGGGTGGGAGACAAACACCAGCACAGAATCACAGAATTATCTACGTTGGAAAAGCCCTCCAAGACCATCGAGTCCACCCTATGACCCAACACCACCTCGCCAGCCAGACCATGGCACTGAGTGCCACGTCCAGCCCTCCTTTAAACACCTCCAGGGCCGGCAAACCCACCACCTCCCCGGGCAGCCCATTCCGATATCTAGTCACTCTTTCTGTGAAGGAATTCTCCCTAACGTCCAGCCTAAACCTTCCTTAGCACAGCTTGAGACTTTGTCACCTCTGTGCCGAGCTGCGGGGCACTCGGGGACACACAGGCACAGCCCAGAGTCCCGCGGGCTGGGGAAGGCAGAATCCATCCCATTCCCCTCCGAGCCAGCCCGGCGAGCCCGGGGGTGCTCCAGAGTTCTGCTCCGGCCTCGCGGGAGCGTTCCCTGAGCCGAGCCCGGGCCGAAGCAGGCCTAGACAGACCCGGGGCCTTCTCCTCCTCCCCGCCGCTCACTCCTTACCAGCTCCCCCTCCGCGGCCGCCTCGCCGGCGCCCCGGGCCATGCTGGGAGAGCAGAGGGAAGGCCTCACGGGGCGGCGGGGCCGCGGGGCCCCCTTCGGGCCGTGGCTGCCGGCTCGGGGCTGGGGGCAGCCATCGCCCCCCGGCGGCACTTCCGGGTCGCGGTAACCATGGCAACCCTCAGCGGCCCGGGCTGGAGACGCATGCGCAGAGCTGGGGCGCGCCTGCAGGCAGGGCCGGGGGAGGGCTCGGCCCGGCCGCGGAGCGCGGGTGACACCAAGCGGCCCCGCAGGGAGTGAAACCGCGGCGGGCGGCGGAGCGGCCTCTGCGGGGGCTCCGCTCCACTTGCGGGCCAGGAGTTTTTGCCCGAGAGCGCCGGGATAACTCGAGGCAGGGCGCAACTCCATCCCGCGCACCGCCGGTACCGTCCCGCAGCCACCGCCTGACCCTGGAGCGCGCCCGGGTCACGCCCCCTGACCGGCCACTGGCCACGCCCCCGCCCCGCTGGGCACGCCCCCTTTGCGACACTCGCGGTGCGGCCGTGCCGGCCCGGCTCGGTTCGGTTCGGTCCCGGCCATGTGCGACCCCCAGTCCCGCTTCGTGGCCCGGGCCCGCCGCCGCTTCGCCATGACCCGAGAGTGCGCCGTGCTGCTGCCCGGGGTCTGCGCCGCCCTGGCCGACCCGCGGCAGCCCGGCCTCGACGACACCTGCCTGGAGAAACTGCTGGACTGGTTCCGCAGCCTGACGTGGTTCGGTGAGCGCCGGGGGCCGGTCCGGGGGAGGGGAATCCATCACGGGATCGCAGAGTAGTTCGGGTTGGAAGGGAGCTCCGAAGATCATGCAGTGCAGCCCCGTGCCAAGGCAGGGTCACCTGGAGCAGGTGGCACGGGAACAGGCGTCCAGGTGGGGTTGGAATGCCTGCACTGCTGTTTGAGGTGCTCTGACACCCAAAAATGCTGTGGGTGCGCCCGAACTCATCAGTCCTAGCAGCTGGCAGGGCTTAATACAAATTTTGTATTTTAATACAAAAACCCAGAAGGCTTCATTCAGGAAAGAGATGTGTACAGGTGTATAAAGCAGTCTGCTGGAACTGATACACATAGGCTGTCCTTTAGCACCTGCAAACAAAGCACTTTTGCTTTTGAACCACTCAGCTCAGGGGACCACTTTAGTGAGACAGGACAGTCCTGGCAGTGGGACTCTGGAAGCTCTGCAGAGCTCAGTCCTGGCAGTGAGCTGATGTTTTCTGCTCTCCTGGGCAGACCCCACTGTGGAGCTGGTGCAGGACAACCCGTGTCTGACAGAGCTCCTCAGCTCCGTGCTGGCCCTGCCCGATCCCAGCCCTGGCATCCTGTCCTTCACCCTGCAGCTGGCCGGGATCCTCGCCTCGTCCGAAAGCCGCTTCCAGCACCTGCAGGTGAGCTGGGTACCACTGACCCGGGCACCTGCTTCTGTGTGTCTGTCTGCTCCTTCTCTATGCACAGTCCCTGAAAACGTGCACGTTCTGCTTAGTAAATGTATGGCAGCAAAAGTGATTCAACAGCAAAGACCTACCATCACCATTCCTGATCAATTCTCGTGTACAGCTGTTTCTCACTTCTGTCTCACCACAGCAGGACTGTGAATGCTGATGGGTAGGGCTTCCCATTGTAGTTGAAGAGAATGTATGGGGTAACCCAACTCTGGGTTGGACTCTATGGAGATCTCTGCCAACCTAGTCATTCTGTGAACACTTCACAGCAGTCACTGCACAGTACTGCATCCCAGGACAGATCCTGCAGATTCAAACTGCACTAACAGATGTCATTTTCCCTTCCTGATAGGTTGACAGGAAGTTTTTGATTCCCTACAAAAACAAGGGAGCTTTTTAAAGCAGTGCTTTCTGCACCAGGATACATTTTAGTACAAAACCCAAAAAGCTTCATTCAGGGAAGAGATGTGTACAGGTGTATAAAGCACTCTGATGGAACTGATGTACATAAGTTTTCCCTTAGCACCTGCAAACAAATCAGTTTTGGCTTTGAACACCCTGGTTTATCCATATGTTACCTTTAAGCATGAGATTCTGAACACTGCCCGTTTTATGATACTTGTAGCAAGAGCAGGTTTCACCACAGCGCTGATACTCTTGACTGGCACAGAGCAGCCCCTTTTCTCGCTGTTCACTCTGTTTTCTGCCCTCTCAGCAGGAGAAGCTGCTGGGGAGGCTCTTTGGCCCGGAGGGGCCGCGGGGCAGCGCGGCGTGGGAGGACGCGTCGGTGCGCAGCGCCTGGCTGAAGGGTGTGCACAGCATGCTGCACCACCTGCCTGCCCTGCACTGCCTCTGCTCCACGGGTGAGTGCTGCTGGGGCTGCCAGCTCCCCTCCCTGCTGTGCCCCTTGCTGGGCAGGATGGGTGTCTTGGTTTATTTAAGGTTAAAGTGAGCCATTTGTCCAAAACGTGAAGTCGTTGAAAGATGTTGGTTAAGTTAGCTAAGCATTAAGTCAACGTTTGTTAAGTTAGTTATGCATTTGGTTTTTTCCTCCAAACACTGAAGGTGGTGCTCTTTTTAGAGGGGAAAGAATCTTTTAAAATTAGGATTTCTTATAAAATTAAGAGCCCTTATAAAATTAAGAGCTATCTGTATTCTTATTTGTAACTCCTACTAAAGGGTACATTTCAGCATGATTTTAGTGCAGAAAAACTCAGCAGATGCTAATTTCATTTGCAATCCTGTTGTTATGGAGGTATGTAAATTATGCTGTTAGCACCAACTTTGGATCCCCTGTACAGAGGGGTCTAAAAGACTGGATTGGTATTAAAGTGCAGCACATGCTGCTGTCCCTGTGGTGGAAAAGTGGTGCTGATACTGCTGTTCATGTTTTTCCTACTGGTTATGTCCAGAGGTGGTACAGGCTCTGTCCATAAATACACCTTGAGTGTGCTGTCAACTCTCCTAATGTTACTGATGTTATATTGAAGTCTGATCCTGAGTTATTAAACCCCTGAGGATCTGAAACAATTTCATTTTCTTCTGTTTGCTTGTTCTTAAGGACTGGCTGACTTTGAGTAGAGACTACAAAATAAAATATAAGAAAACCCCATCACCACCATTTAAAGCTGTGTGGTACCTGAATTAGAGTCATAACTGGTTGTTTGCTGCTCCAGTGACTTGTTTTGTTTTCCCACAGGAGGCATGGATGTGATCTTCACTCTGCAAGGGGATCCCAGCCTGTTTGTGGCTTCAGCTGCCTGCCAGCTCCTGGTGCACTTGCTCACCTTCTCCCTGGAGTCTGAAACATCCAAAGCTCTCAGTGCCAAGGACTGTGACTGGCCAGGCTGTGCCCAGATGATTGTAGAGCACATCAAAGAGTCCCTTCAGTCCAGCTCTGCCCCTCACGTTGAGCAGTCCCTGAAGCTGCTGAGCAGTTTGTTTGGCAGTTGTTTTGGCAGTTGCTATGCTGCATGGACTGAAGTCCTTTGGTTGGACATAGCAAAGCAAATAGAATCCTTTCTGCTGGAGGAGACTGTTCAAGCCCAGCCCCTGCTGGCCAATCTTCTGCTGAACGTGGCACGGTAAAGATCTCACGGCACCTTGGAGCCCCTGCTGAGACAGATCTGTTTGCCACCCTGGGATGGGTTACACTTACACTTCTCTCTTCTCAGATCCCCTGCATTTTGTGGCACTGAAGGCAGCTTTTGGGCATTAGTAACTTCTGCTCTGGAACACTTAACCCCAGTACAAGCAGGTCCTCTGGCAGTGGGACTGCTGAAGCTCTGCAAATGGTAGGACTTAAAGCAATGAAATTTCTGCACTGTGCAGGTGTTTCTGCAACATAATTCCCCTTTAGGTAGTGAAAAAGCAGCAGAAAACCATCAGATGAATACAGTACATACAGATACTGATTTCCAGGCTAAATAACACTTTTGTTCTAAACTAGAAGGACACTTTTTTCACAAGATATGCCTCTCTCCCAGCCTCTTACACAGGATCCCACTCTCTATTTGCATTGATAAAGCAATAGCTTTATCAAGCTTCTCTATAGCTTGATAAAGCTGCTTCTAAATTCCAGAGCCCTTTGTCCTCTGCTTTCATTTAGCATTGGAAGCAGGCTCAGATTGTGATACTGCTTTTGTTGCTCTGTCATTGCTGGCTTGTTTAAAAGCCTGCATGAAAGTCATTATCCTGCTCAGCATCTGGGGGCAAGTATTTGGGAAGGGATTGAAGTTTACTTGTGTTGGTAACTGCTGTTTCCTCCTTGAAGCCCACAAGATGTCAGGATTCAGGCACTGACTGTTCTGCTCCAGCCAATGGACTGTATTTTGAGAGCAGCCTCCCAGCCTCTGGAATGTGCAGGTACAGTTGTGACAGAAAAGTTAGAGGCCATTCTGCTTGCCAGTATTTTAAATGTCTGGTGCAGCCAAAACTGGAGGAAAAAGAGTAGGAGAAGTCAAGGACAGTAGCAGTGTTTGTGTAAATATTACTGCCAGTTGCATTTGAAGGCATGTTCATAACTACATCAGCTGAATATCTTAGTTAACTTTAAAACTCACAGCCTTTTCTATTCATTGACAATCTGAGCTCTTCCCTTTTTTGTCCTCTAGGTTTACTGGATGAGTCTGTCAGTGATCCTGCCACTGTTGAAAGTCTTCTGTCCTCCAAGACATCCTGTGCTGGTCTCCTGTGTCAGACCCTCACCCACCTGGAGAAGCTGCTGTCTCTGGTAACATTCAGAGAGGGGAAAAAAAGAACCTAGGAGTCAAAGTGGTCCTTGAAATTCAGTGTTAAGATGGTTGCAGACTTTTTCAATAGAGCATAACAGAATGTGGAGAGGAGTTGGCAATTGGGGTTTCCATATTTTAAGGAAATTCAGCACAGTAGGCTCCAAACAGGAGAAGAGAGATACAGGGACTCTTAAAGAGGGGCTGCACTTAAGTTTTAAATTTGTCTTGGTGAGCTTTGTTACCATACCTTACTTGTATTGCAATTATTGATCCTGAGAAACACAAATTGAGCTGCTTTCCCAAGCAGTCAAAAGAATCTCCTTCCATCTGTGCAGCAGTTCTTGGAAGAGATGAAGATCATTTATTTGTAGTTATTGACATTGTGGTGCCTTGAGAACCCACTAGATGTTGCAATTTTTTGCT